TTTTTATCCCCCCGCAGCCCCCGCCCCCAACCCGGGCAAACACGGCGGGGTCGAGGGGCAGCGCGGGGGGGCCCCGTGTCCCCTCCCGGGCCTGTCCCCGTGTCCCCGAGGGCCGCGAGGGGCCGGTGGCCGCGGGATTGGGGCTGGGGGGACGAAGGTTGTCGCCTGCGATGTCACTGACCCTCGGCCCCCCGGCAGGGGGGGGACAGTGGGGACACCCCGGGCTGGGGCCAGCGCTGGGGACACGCGGGCAAAGGGCACTGGTGGCGTTGGCGACAAAAGGTCGGAGTCCCCCTGGTCACCTGTGGGGATGGGGGACATGGGGACAGCCCAAGGGACAAGGTGGGGGGGTGGCGACAGAGGTGGCGCAGGGAGGGGACAATGGGCTGAGGAGATGGGGACAGAGGGGACATGGCGGGGGACACAGGGAGGGGACGTGTGGGGACATGGCCAGGAGGGGACAGGGATGTGGGGAGGGGACAACGTGGGGCAGGGGACATGAAGGGAATTGGGGGGCCGGGGGTCCAGAGATGCGGGAAGGGGACACGAAGGGAGTGTTGGGACACAGCCAGGACGGTCCAGGCATGGAGGGGTGACATGGGACACGCGGGTGGGGACAAGAGGGGACATGGAGAAGGGGGTGGGAGAGATGGCTAGGAGGAGGGAACATGAGGTGGCGGGAGTCCAGGGATGAGGGGAGGGCACACGGGGGACATGGAGGTCACAGGACAAGGGGGACACGCGCGGGTTTGGGGACACGCGCGGGACAGGAGGGTGGCGCGGAACGCGCCCGCCACGGAACGTCTCCGCTCGGGTGCGGGGGGTCCGGAGGGGTCGCATTCCGGAGCGGCCCCGCCCTCCCCGCTCAGCCAATGGGCGGCGCGCGTTGCCCGCGGCCAAGATGGCGGCGGCGCGCCCCCTGAAGGCGCTCCGGGCGGCGCCGCCCGCGATGGCGGCGGCCGGCGGGGGCCCGTAGGGGCCATGGGCAACGCCGAGGGCCGCGCTCCGCGCCGGGCCGAGCCCCGCGGAAACCCCGGCAGCTTCGATGAGCTGCACCGGCTCTGCAAAGGTGCGCCCGGGGACAAGCGGGGCTGTGAGGGGACAGCGGGGCTGTGAGGGGACAGCGGGGCTGTGGGGACAGCGGGGGTGGCAGCCCTGTCCCTTCTGGGGCTGGCCTGGGGGTGTCCCCAGAAAGGGGTTGTGGGTGTCACCTGGGGGGTGACAGCCGTGTCTGGGGGGGTCTCTGGGTGTCCCAGGGGGGTGACAGCCGTGTCTGAGGGTGACAGCCGTGTTCGGGGGTTCTTTGGGTGTCCCAGGGGGGTGACAGCCGTGTCTGGGGGGTGACAGCCGTGTCCCCAGGCGGGTGACAGCCGTGTCCCCCCAGAGGTGTTCCCGCCGCAGATGGAGGGGGTGAAGCTGATCGTCACCAAGACCCTGAGCAGCCACTTCCAGGTCGGAGAGGGGACACATGGGGACCTGGGGGGACACGTGTCCCCCCTGTGCTGTCCCCTGTGACCCCTGGTGTCCCCACAGGTGACACACACGGTGCACATGAGCACCCTGGGCCCCTCCGGCTATCGTTTCAACGCCACCTACGTGGGGGACCGCCAGCTCGGGCCCACCGAGGTGACACCGCGGGTGACACCGGGCTGGGGGGGGTGGCCTCGGGGGGCCTTGGTGGCCTCAGGTGGTCGCAGATGTTGTCACCCGTTCTGGAACCTCGTGGTCACCCCGAGGCCACCGATGACCCCAGGGCTGTGGGGTCGTGTTATGGTCATCTGTGACCCCTGGTCGCCCTAGGGTGGTCAAGTGGCCTTGGGTCATTGGTGGCCATGGGGTGAGGAGTGGTCCCAGGTGACCTTGGGGTCATTGGTGGCCCTGGGGTGGTGAGTGACCCCAGGGTGGTCAGTGGCTTTGGGGTAATGGTGGCTTCAGGGACATGGGTGGCCCTGGGGTGAGGGGTGGTCCCAGGTGACCTTGGGGCCATTGATGACCCTGGGGCCATTGGTGGCCCAGGGGACATGGGTGGCCCTGGGGACATTGGTGGCCCAGGGGACATTGGTGGCCCTGGGGTTTTGGGTGGTCCCAGGGGTCATTGTTGCCCTCAGGCCACATTGGTGGCCTCGCTGTGGCCCGGGGCTGTTGTGATGGCCCTGCCAGCAGCTTCACAGAGCCCTGGTGGCTCGGCGGTGGCTCGGCGGTGGCCGTGCCGGGGCTGTCCCCACCGTGGCTGTCCCCACGCCCACGCCAAGTGTCCCCAGGTGTTCCCCACGCTGCTCGGGGACATGGACAGCGCCGGCAGCCTCAACGCTCAGGCCCTGCACCTGCTGGGCGAGCGCCTCCGCGCCAAGGCCGTGTTCCAGGTGAGCCCCGCACCTGTCCCACCCTGCCGGGGCCACCCCCGCGGGCCACCCCCCGGTGTCACCGCTGTCCCCCGTGTCCCCAGACGCACCAGGCCAAGTTCGTGACGTGGCAATTCGACGGCGAGTACCGCGGCGACGACTGCACGGCCACGCTCACGCTGGGCAACCCCGACGTGCTGGGAGGCTCCGGTGAGCGACAGGCGCGGCCGTGTGGCCCCGGGTGGCCTCGTGGGGACGCCACTGAGGCCACCGCGCTGTCCCCGCAGTGATCGTGGTGGCCCATTTCCTGCAGAGCGTCACCGCCCGCCTCGTGCTGGGCGGCGAGCTCGTCTACCACCGGCGTCCTGGCGAGGAGGGGGCCATCCTCACGCTGGCCGGCAAATATTCAGGTGGGGACGCTTTGGGGACGCGTTGGGGACACTTTGGGGACGGCCCCAGCCGTGTCACCTCAGCGCTGGCTCTCTGTTGCAGCCCCCAACTGGGTGACGACGCTCAACGTGGGCTACGGGGGGGCTCACGCCAGCTACTACCACCGGGCCAACGAGCAGGTGCGTGTCCCCTGCTGTCCCCAAAGTGTCCCCGGTGTCCCCACACCCCCCCCCCCCACCCCGTGACCGCGGTGTCCCCACCCAGGTGCAGGTGGGGGTGGAGCTAGAGGCCAACACGCGGCTGCAGGAGACCAACTTTGCCTTCGGCTACCAGCTCAACCTGCCACGAGCCAACGTCGTCTTCAGAGGTGGGCCGGGCTCCTGGTGGCTTCTGTCCCCAGCTGTCACCTGCTGGTGGCGCTCAGCTGTCCCTCCTGTCCCCCTCAGGGCTCCTGGACAGTAATTGGAGCGTGGGGGGGGTCCTGGAGAAGAAGTTGCCCCCCTTGCCCGTCACGCTGGCCCTGGGCGCCTTCCTCAACCACTGGAGGAACCGATTCCACTGCGGCTTCAGTGTCACCGTGGGCTGAGGGGACACTGGGGACAGCAGGGACAGCGTGGCATTGTCCTGCTCAGGGAGCCACCGGGCCGGGCCGTGCAGGTGCCACAGGGACACGGCGGGCTGGGGACAGCGAGTGACAGCGCCACGGGGGGGCTGGGGGTCCCCAGTGCCACCCTCTGGGGGTGGCTGCTGCCACAGGGGTCCCCATTGTCCCCAGTGCCACCTTCTGGGGGTGGCTGCTGCCATAGGGGTCCCCGTTGTCCCCAGCGCCACCCCTGGGGGTGTCTGTCACGGGGATCTGAGGGTCCCCATTGTCCCCAATGCCACCCCTGGGGGTGTCTGTCACGGGGGGCTGGGGGTCCCCGTTGTCCCCAGCGCCATGGCTGCCGTGCCTCAGTTTCCCTGCGGCGACACACCCGGCAGCCCGGATAAATAAAGGAGCTTTACTCTGTGCCCGGCGCGGACTGGGGGTGACATTAAGGGACCCGGGGGTGACATCAGGGCTCAGCTGATGATCTCGGAGAGCAGCGGCGTCATGGCCGACAGGTCCGTGATGTGCAGGATCTGCCGCGTGTTCTCCACCTTCAGCGTCTGCAGCTCCGTCAGCAGCAGCAGCAGCTTGGCGTACAGGAACCTTGGAGGGGACACAGGGGACAGCCAGCAGGGCGTGGTGGCCGTCCCCCACCTCCCTGGGGACAGTGCCAGCACTCACCTGCCCTCGCCCGGGGGGTGCTGGTGGTCGATGTAGCTCTTGAGGGTCAGCGCCACTTTCTCCTGGAACTGATCGATGACATCGCGCTGGGCGATGCCAGCGTGGTCTGGGGGGGATTTGGGGTGACATCAGCAGCGCTTTGGGGACACAGGGATGTCCCCGTGTCCCCCTGGGGTGGCTCACCTGGCGAGAAGAGCAGCATGGCCTGCAGCAGGGCGTACTCGGCCTCGTGCAGCCGCAGCCGCCGCAGGCTCTCGTGGAACTTGAGCAGCGGCTCCAGGTAGACCTGCTGGAATCCGGCTGTGGTGGTGGGGAAGGGAGGAGAACCCCAAAATCCTGGGGTTAGGGTGGGGAGCACCTCTGGTATCGGATCCCTGCCGTGTCACCCCTGCGGGGGTTCCTCGGGCACTCCAAAGCTCCCCAGGCAGCCCCTTCCGAAACCTTTTCCCTTCTCCAGGTGGAATTTCCCCAAATTTCCAGCCCCTGGCACAGCTGGAGGCTCTGTGCCCTTGTCCTGTCCCATTCTCTGGGATCAAATTCCCCCTGGAAAAGCCCAAAATTCCCCCTGGACCCCCCGTTTTCTCCAGGATCAGCTCCCCCAGGATTTTCCATCCCAAAATCCCGCCTGGATCCCCCTTTTTCTCCAGGTTGAACCCCCCCAGGATTTTCCAGCCCTTTCCCTTCCCTGGATACTTTCCAGCCTTTCCTAAACTGAATAAGCAGAACTGGACACAGCCAGGGGACAACCCCTTGGTGGCCACACTGTCCCTGACCCAGCCCAGGTGCCACACCTGGCCACACCTGGCCACACCTGGCCACACCTGGCTCGGGTCCCTTTGTGTCCAACCTCTCTGTCCCCACCCCGGGGGGTCGTTGCGACAACACAGGACCCTGCTCTTTGTCCTGCCACCCTCCTGTCCTTGGATTGTCCCCGCACAGCCGTGTCCCCAGGTGTCCCCAGGTGTCCCCAGGTGTCCCCAGGTGTGTACCCAGGGCCCCGTGGCGGATGGTGTAGCAGCGCTGGCCGCACTCCCAGGCTTTGGTGTCGGCGTTGAAGACGGTGTTGAAGCGGATTTGGCAAATCCCCAGCGTGGCCCCTTTGAGCAGCGAGATTTGAGTGTCCAGGGACAAACTCCTGACGGGGAGGCGACAAGGCCACACGTCAAGGGACGTCGGGAGGTGGCACTGGGAGGTGTCCCCGCCCCGTCCCCGCCCCGCGCACCTGAACACCGGGATCTCCTTGGCGAATTTGATCACCTGCTGGATCATGAACGTGCTCAGGTCGGCGAACTGCGGCAGCAGCGACACCACGTCCGGCAGAGCGTCCTCGCAAGGCGACAGCGACAGCCCCGAGGGGACATCCGAGCCGGGAGGGCTGGGCACGAACAGGCGCACGGCGGGCTGGGGACACGTGGGGACAGGGCAGGGTGGCTGCGGGGACAGGCGGGACATCTTTGAGGACAGGCGGGACATTTCTGGGGACAGTCAGAGCGTCGTGGAGACACTCAGGACATTCTCGGGGACAGTCAGGACATTTTTGGGGACAGTCTGGGTACACGTAGGGACAGGCAGGGCATCGTGGGGACAGTCAGGACATTCTTGGGGACAGTCAGGACATTCTCAGGGACAGTCAGGACATCTTTGGGGACAGTCTGGGTACACGTAGGGACAGTCAGGATATTCTTGGGGACAGTCAGGACATTCTCAGGGACAGTCAGGACATCTTTGGGGACAGTTGAGGCACCGATAGGAACAATTGTGTCACTGTGGGAAGAGGCTGGGACACTCAAGGGGACAGTGGGGACACCCGTGGGGACACTCAGGGCACCCTTGGGGCCATCTGGGTCACCTTTGGGGACAGCCAGGACACCCACAGGGGTGGCCAGGGCGCCCATGGGCATGGCTGGGGCAACCATAGGGACAGGGGTGTCACCCCAGGGGTGTCACCCACAGGGACAGGGATGTCACCCACAGGGACAGGGGTGTCCCCAGCTCACCCAGCAGTGCATGAACTGGGAGAAGCTGGAGTCGAAGGTGCGCTGGTGGGCGGCCATGAGGAGCTCGATGAGTTCCTGCTGCTCGCCCGTCAGTCCCGCCCGCTGGCCCTGCTGGCCCTGCTGGCCCCCGGGCTGGCCCCGCTGGCCCCGCAGTTCCCGTCGCCGCCTCAGCGCCTCCTCCGACATGATCACTGCCATCCGCGGTCCCGCTGTCACCGCCGGCACCGGCGACAGCGGCGACAGCGCCCAGAGTGCCGTGATGTCGCTCCCCGCTGTCACCTCCCTGCCGCACCCATTGATGCCACCTCTGTGCTGTCCCCTCCCCTGTCACCCCAGCCGGGCCGCTTCTCTCTGTCCCCTCCAGGTCCCCTTTGTCCCCTCCGGGTGCTTCCCCTCTTCCCTCGTGTCCCCGTGGTGTGTCCCCTCCATTCCTTCCCCCGCCACGTCCCCTTTGTCCCCTCCGTGTCCTCTCTCCTCTGTCCCCCCCGGTGTCCCCCGTGTCCACCAGTGTCACTCACTGTCCCTCCTCATGCCCACGTCGAGGCACTTCTGGAGGCGACAGGCCTGGCATTGTCGCCTCTTGGCCTTGGTGACAGGGCAGCGCCGCGCCAGGGGACACGTGAAGCGAACACCTTTGATGACAGAGCGCCTGCGGGGACACGGCCACTGTCACCGCGTGTCCCCACTGTCACCGCGTGTCCCCACTGTCACCGAGTGTCCCCAGACACGGTCACTGTCACCGAGTGTCCCCACTGTCACCGCGTGTCCCCACTGTCACCGAGTGACCCCGGACACGGCCACTGTCACCGCGTGTCCCGTCTTGTCCCACCCTGTCCCCGTCATTGGGATCACTCTGTGCCACCCCTTCCCAGCCCGCGGTGTCCTGTCCCATCCTGTCACCGCATCCCGTCCTGTCCCCTCGTGCTGTCCCCTTGTCCCATCCCGCCTTGTCCCTTTGTCCCATCCCACCCTGTCCCACCCCTCTCACCTTGTCCCCAACCTCCCCCACCCTGTCCCCTTGTCCCATCCTGTTCTGTCCCATCGCTGTCCCCTTGTCCCACCCCACCCCGCTCTGTCCCCTCGCTGTCCCCTCGCTGTCCCCTCGCTGTCCCCTCACCTGAAGAAGCCCTTGCAGCCCTCGCAGCTCATGACGTGGAAGTGGTACCCGCTGGCCCTGTCCCCACACACGGCGCACACTTTGTCCCCGTCGGGCTCCGTGTCCCCAGGGGGGTCCCGGGGGCGGGGGGTGCTCTCTGTGTCCGGGGGGCTGGGCAGGGACACGGCTGGGGACACGGGGACAGCGGGGGGGGGTGACACAGCCGGCAAAGCCCGTCCCCTCGAGTGTCACCTTGTCCCGCGGCGCTGTCACCCACGTGCACCCTCCCGCCGCCGCGGTGTCCCTCCAGCCGCGGTGCTGTCACCCGCGTGTCCCCGTCGCTTCCCAAGTGTCCCCTTTGGTCCTTGCGTGTCCCCTCCGGTCCCCAAGTGTCCCCGTCAGCCCCCCGTGTGTCCCCTGCATTCCCCGAGTGTCCCTGCAGGTCCCTGCATCCCCCTCCGGTCCCCGCGTGTCCCCTCCTGTCCCCTCCTGTCCCTGCGTGTCCCTTCCTGTCCCCTCCCGTCCCTTCCTGTCCCCGTCGGTGGCGGTACCTGAGCCGGTGTCCCCCGGTGCTCTCGGTGACGGGGGACTGTCCCCACGCAGTGAGGGGACAGCGGGTCCCGCAGTGTCCCCTCCTGTCCCCACGTGTCCCCTGCGGTCGCTGAGTGTCCCCTCCATTGGCGCTGTGTCCCCGCCGGTCCCCGGAAAGGCCCCGTGGAGTTTGAACCTTGAACTTGAGCGAGGCTGCGACAGGCGGGGACACACCGCGGGGCGGAGGGGACAGGTGGCACCTGAGGGGACACGGGAGCACAGGTATGGGGGGACAGAGGGACACGGGGACAGGTGGGCGACACGACGTGGTGACAGGCAGGCACGCAGGGGACAGCCAGAATGTCACCCGTGCGTGCTGAGGGTGGCACCGGGAGCGACACGGTGGTGGCCGCGCTGTCACCGCTGTCCCCACGGGAAGGTCCCTGTCACCAGCCCCACGAGGGGCACCGGCAGTGTCCCCATGGCGGGGTCCCCGGGCAGCACCTGTGTCACCCTGTCCCCAGGTGTCACCCCCACACACCAGGAGGGTGGCACTCGGGGAGGGGGGGAGGGGGGGGGGGCTCAGGGTCACCACGGTGCCACCACATTCCCTGAGCTCCCTCGTGTCCCCAGTGTCCCCTCGTGTCCCCCAATGTCTCTCCAATGTCCCCAGTGTCCCCCAATGTCCCCAATGTCCCCCAATGTCTCTCCAACGTCCCCCAGTGTCCCCTAATATCCCCCAATGTTCCCCAATGTCCCCTAATGTCCCCAACGTCCCCTCGTGTCCCCAATGTCCCCAGTGTCCCCCAATGTCCCAAATGTCCCCCAATGTCCCCCAATGTCCCCAGTGTCCCCCTGTGTTCCCAATGTCCCCCAATGTCCCCAATGTCCCCCTGTGTTCCCAATGTCCCCCAATGTCCCCAACGTCCCCTCGTGTCCCCAATGTCCCCAATGTCCCCAATGTCCCCCCGTGTCCCCCCGGGGCCGTCGCGCCTGGAGCGGGGGGGGCCCCCCCGAGAATCCCCACGGGTGGGCGTGTCCTCCACTGACCCCACCCCCCTCTTCCCATTGGCCGAGCGCTGCTGTCAATCAAACCCCGCCCCTATAAAAGGCGGCGGCGGCAGCGCCGGCCCCGCACTGAGCGGCGGCGGCGGCGGCGGGCGGGATGAGCGAGGTGGGGACATTGGGGGACATTGGGGGACATTGGGGGACATTGGGGGACACCGGGGTGGGCCAGAACACACCGGGACAGACCGGCAGGAGCGGTTCGTCCCTTTTCCCGTGGTTTTCAGCCCCGAGCAGGGCGAGGAGCAGCGCTGGGAGTGGGGATGGGACGAGGATGCCGCAGCCCGGGGAGCGTGCGGGGACCACGGGGACAATTTGGGGACTCCGGAGCACCGGTGTCACCTCCCCTTTCCTCCAGGGCTCCTCTCTCTTCTCCCCCATGAGCCCCACTCCGCCTGGAGTTTGGGGGGACCCTGGGGACAATAGGGGGACCCTGGGGACAATGGGGGGACTCTGGGGACAATGGGGGTACTCTGGGGACAGCGGAGCCCCTGTGTCACCCCTTCGGGTCCCCTCTGTCCGCAGCGCAGCCCCCATGACCCCCCCTTGGAGGCGGAGACCCCCGGTGGGCAGCAGCAAGGTGAGGACCCCTGGCACAGGTGGGGCGCGGGTCCCCTCTGTCACCGCTGTCACCGCTGTCCCCGCAGACCCCAGGCTCCGTGTCCCTGTCCTTGCCTGGGGGTGGCGGGGTGTCCCCAGCGGTCCCCGGGGTGAATCAGAGGGTGCCAGGCTGTCCCTTGTCCCCCGGGGGGATGGCACGGTGTCCCCCTGAGTGTCCCCAGAGTGAGTCTGGGGGTGCCAGGATGTCCCCAAAGATGTCCCCGAGTCCCCCTGAGTGTCCCCGGGGTGAATCTGGGGGTGCCAGGATGTCCCTTGTCCCCCTGGATGTCCCCGGGGTGAGTCTGGGGGTGTCCCCAAGGATGTCCCTGTCCCGTGTCCCCCCTCGCCAGCCAAGGCCGGTGACCCCAAGAAGGAGGAAGAGGAGGAGGAGGAGGAGATCGACATCGACCTGAGCGCGCCCGAGACGGAGCGCGCCGCGCTCGCCATCCAGGGCAAATTCCGCAAATTCCAGAGGAGGAAGAAGGAATCGGGGCCCTGAGGGGGGGTCCCGGGACCCCCCCAAACCTCGTGGGGTCCCCCCTGACCCGAGCGGGGACCCCGAGTGACACGGGGGGGGGGGACACAGCCGAGTGTCACCCGCAGGGGAGGTGGCGAGGGGGTGAGGTGGGGCCCCCCGTTTTCCTGGGAATTCCCAATTTTTCCCTGGGAATTCCCAATTTTTCCCTGGGAATTCCCATTTTTTCCTGGGATTTCCCAATTTTTCCTGGGGGTCCCCTCATTTCACTGTCCCGTGGTGGCGTTGGGGACACGCGAAGGGGGGGGGGACACACCGATGTCCCCAAGCGAGGGGAGCCCCGAATTGGGGCAGGGGTCTCGCTGCAGCCCCCAACCCAGAAAATCGGGGCTCCCCACCCTCCTGTCACTGTCACTGTCACTGTCCCCCCCCAAGAAAGGATTTTTTTCCTGTGCAAAGAATAAAGTGTGAGGAAGAGGAAGGTCTGGGGGTTCGGGGAATTTGGGGACAGGGGGGACCCCAAGGGTGGGTGGGGGGGGTTTGGGAAAGGCTCCAGCCCCCCCTCCCCTAAATCCTACCTGGGATTTAAAGGATTTCCAGTGAAATTCCCAGGAATTTCTCACCCAAAAGTGCTGGGAGGGGTGGGGATAAAATCAGAGAGATTTGGGGGGGTTGAGGCCGATTTTTGGGGGGGTTCACAGCCGGGTTTTGGGGGATTCGCAGTCGGATTTTGGGGGAATTTGGGGCCGAATTTGGGGGATTTGCAGTCGGATTTTGGGAGATTCGCAGCCAGATTTGGGGGGGGTTTGCAGCCCGATTTTGGGGATTTCGCAGCCGGATTTGGGGAACATTTGCAGCCGATATTGGGGGGTTCACAGCCGGGTTTTGGGGAATTCGCAGTCGGATTTTGGGGGGATTTGCAGCCGAATTTGGGGGGGTTCACAGTCGGATTTTGGGGAGTTCGAAGCTGGGTTTTGGGGGAGCTCGCAGCCGAATTTTCGGGGGATCGCTGCCGGATTTTGAGGATTTCACAGCCGGATTTGGGGGAGGGGGTTCACAGCCAAATTGGGGAGGGTTCACAGCCACGTTTTGGGGGAGATTTGCCGGATTTTTGGGGAGGGGTTCGGAAGGGCCGGGAATGCCGCGGTCCGGTGCAGAAATAACTCCTTGGAAAGAAAAACAGAGCCCGGGGCAGGGCCCAGGGGACACGGCGGGGTCGAGCTGTGCTGACTTATTAGGGAAAGAAAGGACAAAAATCCCGGGGGGACACCGGGGGGGCACCGGGGGGGGGCACCGGGGGCCGCTCCGTGCCCGGTTCCCTCGTGGGAGCGACAATTCCCGCCCTGCTCCGTGCCCCAAATGTCCCCAAATGTCCCCAAATATCCCCCCCCCCCCACCACCAGGGTCGGGGCTTCTGTGTTAATTATACCTCTGTGTTAATTACAGCGAGCTTTAATTAACGGTGGGTGGCGCTGAGGTGGCCTCGGGGACAGCCACCATCCTGTGCCACCAGGTCACCCTCGAAGTGTCACCTCCTTCCCCCCCCCCCCCGAGGGTGACAGCGACGTCCCCGTCCCGTGGGAGCTCCGTGAGTGCTCGGACACCCCCGGGGTGGGGACAGTGACAGTGGGGACAGTGACGGTGACAGCCCGGAGGGGACACGGGGCTCTCCCGGAGATGTCAGTTTTATTAATGGCACCACGGGGACAGGGAGGGGACAGGGAGGGGACAAGGGCGTAGAAAAACGCGTTTGGGGG